TTTCAGTATCGATACTTTTTTGAGTATCGATACTTTTGACAACCCTAGTTTTAACCTGTAACTGGGAGTCATGGTCCTCTGAGAAGCCAAGCTTGTTTTAACTTGTAAAGAAGAACACAACATTTACACTATGTTTTCTCAAGCTTCTTGCAATATAATAGAGAAAAAAAAAAAAAAAAACACGGACTCAAAAAGCTCTAAATGCAGATAGCTGCACCCAACTCCGTTACCTCTGGCTAAAGTAAATGAGCCAAAAGGGGAAAAAAATTATTGGTGTGGACGTACCCCCAATAATGGTGGGGGTACGTCCACACCAGTCCTTCAGAAAGTCATGCCTGAGTCTGGCGCAGATGGATATCTGCGGGCGAGAACAAATCAGTCTTCCAACCTGTGTAGGCTCACTGAGAAACTACCCCATTGAACGTCACCTGCTGACTTGGATGCAGCTATAAAGCTGTTGGGTTCGCTTCAGGGAAAATGTATTTTTAAGAAGTTTCCTAATGGAAACCTCAACAACACTAAAGCTGTTCGCGTCTTGCGCAATGATGTGTTCCTCAAACTACAATGTTTGAGTGCAACTAAGGCAAGCCTGTCAGCACAGCTCTATCAGCCAAGCTAACCTATCCCCTCGATCAGTGGATAGCCACAAGCTGCTGGCCCATCAGAGTGGTTGAAGATGATTGGTTTGAGCTCCTTCTCCAGACGGCCACAGGTGAACGATCTTACAAACTACCTGCGAGGCGAACTATCATGAGAATACGTGACCAGCACGCCGTGAAGGAAGCTGATAAGGACGCTAAAATTGTTAGAGGCGACGTGTTTAGTATTGACGGGGGACCACTGGACATCTGTCATTAACAGTAACTACCTCTGCGTTACTGTACACTACATCAATGCCAGCTGGGAACTTCCATCCTTCGCTTTAGGTTGGCTATGTTATGTCATTTTAAATTTCATTTTACCACGACACCATGAATGATTACCACAATATTATGATTGCTTCTTGATGATTGCTTTGGTTTATGTGAGTGATGTGGGACGCTTTTTGAAAATGTAGCTTTAATGGTATTTTTTTAGCCTAATTAGTTTCTAGACCTTGTTATGTGCTTCGGGCACATTATGATTCTTGTCTATTTCTTTTCTTTGTTTTCTTATAGACTTTAGTTGAAGGATCTTTTGTTAGTATATTTTGGGAGTTGAATAATTCTTTTGGCCAGTTAATTACGTTAATTTGTGGTGCTGTTGTCCGCCTATAAATAGGCTGTCTTTCAGCATGTTGGGGCGTTCCTTTCCATCTTCGCCTGGACGCCGCTTTTCCACCTGCTTCCACTTGTTCCACCGTGCGCGGTGCGCACTTGTCTTGTCGCTGCGGCCCGCAGCGGATGTTCCAGCCTGCCATGCGGTATTTTGGTTGGCCTGCCAGGTCCAACTTTCTGTTGTTACTTTTGGGTTTCATTTTTTTTATTCCTTTGGGGCAACGGGATCTGAGGGCCTCTAACTTTATTTTCTTCGCAGTAAATCAGAAGAAGCCGAGCAAAGAAAACTAAAGAGGAGAGAATTTATAAATAAAATATTTTTTTGAACCCTCATCTTTTTGTCTCGTGTCCTCAAATATGTTGTGCCCTTGGTGGACGTAACAGACCTAGTTTCATATGATACAAACCAGTTCAAAGACTTATGCTACAATCACACCTAAAGCAGCAGAGGAAGCNGAATCAGAAATACTTTAATAATCCCAGGGAGGGATTACTTTAGTTACATTACTCCATCTGTAATAGAGTGACTATAGGACCAGTTTGATAGAACACTATTTAATTCAGTATATATAATTAGGGGGTCCCTGCTCCATCTAGCCATCAGTTTGGGTTCCTTGGCCTGGAAAACATTGAAGACTCCTGGTTTAGATGAACAGAAGAGTACTGAAAAACTGAGAACTGAACTCTGTGGCCTCTCTGTCCTTGGGAACGTTCTAGGTCAGCTTGGCTGTCCTATGGCTGTGATGTTTGCTGTGTCCACTCTAAGATGACGTACCTCAGCTGAAGGCTTTCAACTGCTTTAAGTGTTGAAGATGATGCAGTTCTCATCTGTTCCTGTGGATCCACAGTTCCTGGACCTGCGTGTGGCGGTGCTGGGTAACGTGGACTCTGGGAAGTCCACCCTGCTGGGCGTCCTGACGCAGGGAGAGTTGGATAACGGCCGAGGCCGAGCGCGGCTGAACCTCTTCAGACATCTGCATGAAATCCAGACAGGACGTACCTCCAGCATCAGCTTTGAAATTTTGGGCTTCAACAGCAAAGGGGAGGTATGACACTTCAGCTCTCTATTTAGACCCAAATCACAAGGAAAAGGCTCTGATCCAATCCCTAAGTGATCCAAATTCTGCCTGTAGCACTGTCAAAGTTCTGTTCGTGATCCAGTTCTCTGCTAGAGGACAGAGATCGCTGATGTTCATCCAGGGTTCTGTCCCAGGTCCAGTTCTCTGCTAGAGGACAGAGATCGCTGATGTTCATCCAGGGTTCTGTCCCAGGTCCAGTTCTCTGCTAGAGGACAGAGATCGCTGATGTTCATCCAGGGTTCTGTCCCAGGTCCAGTTCTCTGCTAGAGGACAGAGATCGCTGATGTTCATCCAGGGTTCTGTCCCAGGTCCAGTTCTCTGCTAGAGGACAGAGATCGCTGATGTTCATCCAGGGTTCTGTCCCAGGTCCAGTTCTCTGCTATAGAGGACAGAGATCGCTGATGTTCATCCAGGGTTCTGTCCCAGGTCCAGTTCTCTGCTATAGAGGACAGAGATCGCTGATGTTCATCCAGGGTTCTGTCTCAGATCCAGAACGGTTCTGATCCGAAGGTTCCAGGGTGCTATCTCTCTCTCTGTTTTCTTGTGTCGTTCAGGTGGTGAACTACAGCGAGTCCCGAACAGCCGAGGAGATCTGTGAGAGCTCCTCCAAAATGATCACCTTCATTGACCTGGCAGGTCACCACAAGTACCTGAAGACCACCATCTTTGGTCTGACCAGCTACTGCCCTGACTTCGCCATGCTGGTGGTGAGCGCCAACACGGGTGTAGGTGAGCGGCTGACCCCGCCCTCCACTGGAACAATTAAGCCCAAGGGCCTGGGCAGTTTGGACCGGGTGTGGCTTTATAATAAGCAACCTGAGCTGGGGGTCAAATGCTGCTTCAGGAACTGATTGAAGTTATGTGTTTAGATGATCTTCCACTGAATCCACTGTGGTTCTAGAAAAGCCAAACATTCAGCATTTACACTATTTACTGAGACACACTGGGTCCACTCTCACAGAGTGCTCTGATCACGGTGAGGAGAAGAACCGTCCCCAGGGCAGACCCAGTGGATTCCACACAGATATAACTACTAATATAACAAACAACCATTTTTACTCTGGTATTGCTAAGATTCGTAGAAAGCAAAGGTGTGTATTTATTGCTTCTAGTGGAAGCTACTACTATGCACTACGCACCATTCAGTCCACAACAAATTTCCTCTAGGGGACAATAGAGTCTACTCTATTTTGTTCTCTTCTGTTCCATTCTATTCTGTTCTATTCTAGCCTGTTCTATTCTAATCTGTTCCTTTCTATTTTGTTCTATTATATTCTGTTCTATTCCATTCTAGTTTGTTCTATTTTCTTCTATTCTTTTCTATTATGTTTTATTCTATTCTGTTCTATTCTGTTCTGTTCTCTTCCATTCTATTCTATTCTATTCTATTCTTTTGTCTTCTGTTCTAATCTAATATGTTCTATTCTATCACGTTCTGTTCTGTTCCGTTCTGTTCTATTCTTCTCTTTTCTATTCTGTTCTGTTCTATTTTATTCAGTTCTCTTCTGTTCTGTTCTATTCTATCCTGTTCTGTTCTATTCTATTCTGTACTATTCTATTCTATTATGTTCTATACTATTATGCAGTATACCTTAAATGCATAACACTTAGAATTGACCATCTATAAATGGAGCCTTATTGCAAAGTTGAACAAATTTTAATGTCATCATTAATTTAAAATTCTAAAGTAAAACATATCAGTTATTTATATCAATGAACTATTGCTTGTTAATAAAGGACATATTTTCCCAGACATTATAATGATTTCCTTAATGAATAATGTTTTCCATCATTTCGAGGATTCTGTATTAGGCTGATATACATAGATATACATATAGAATGGACTCAGGCTACCATTGCGCCCTCTGGTGTTGTAGCAGTGTAAGTACATGCTCAGAGCAGTTGGGCTGCATAAATGGCTACCATCCGACCAGTGGATAAATGGTTACCGTCCGATCCGTGGATAAATGGCTACCGTCCGACCAGGCTAGCAGCAGCCAGGCTGCAGGAGTCCAAGAGGACGGTGTGTTTAGAACCAAGACAGAAGGCTTCCTAGGTCTAACTGGTCACACTGTGTTTGTTGATTGTGGGACCTGTCCAGGAGACGGGCACTGGCTGCCCCCTCCCACGCAGGGCTGCAGGTAACATGTGTTGTCTCCTCTCTTCCATGTCCAGCCGGTACCACCAGAGAGCACTTAGGCCTGGCCATGGCTCTGAAGGTCCCCATTTTCATCGTGGTCAGTAAAGTGGACCTGTGCTCGCGCGGCACCATGGAGAAAACTGTCCGCCAGTTGGAGCGAGTCCTCAAGCAGCCAGGCTGCAACAAGGTTCCCATGATGGTGCTGAGCCCGGACGATGCTGTGACTGCAGCGCAGCAGTTCGCCCAGTCTTCATGGTGGGTCCCACCTTCACCAGGAACACTGAAAGCAATAATGCAACCGTTTTAGGTATCTACTTAACCATATTTAGCTACTTTAACACAATTGTTTTTAGTCCTGCAATATTAACATGAAAAAAATGTGTTAAAGTACATAAATATGATTAAGTAGATGCCAAAAATGGTTGCATTGAACCAAGCAGCTTCTATCAGGATAGGAAATCCTGTTTGTGATGTCACCTTAAAGCATGTTTAGTCTCTGAAGCCACTGAAATGCCACGCCTTATGCTTCCTCGCTTTGTTTCTGTGCTTGCAGCATCACTCCCATCTTCACCCTTTCCAGTGTGTCTGGAGAAAGCCTGGACCTCCTGAAAGTTTTCCTCAACATCCTTCCTCCACTGAGCAACAGCAAAGAACAGGAGGACCTGATGCAGCAGCTTCCTGAGTTCCAGGTCTACAGCACTCACACAACATGGACACCAGGTCACAACACTTTAAACTGCTGTGACTCATCCAGCATAGATTCTCCGGGCAGAGGGAAACACAGCACCGATATCATCAAGTTTAACCCATATTCAGAAAGTTAAGTGGAGGGGAAACATGTTCTTGGAGAAGGCTGCGATCACAGCAGATGAGCTCCTGAACCAGAGACAACATCAGAACCATTTCACCTGGTTCTGTTCTGTTTGGAAATGAAGGTCTGGATGAAAAGTGGAGAGAAAAAGAATCAAGTTTGCTTAAAATCCAGCCTGAAGTTTCCAGTCAGTGATGGTTCTGCCTTTTATGGCTCTGGTCTACTAGGATTACCAGAACATTTTAGAGCTTTTACTGCTTCCGCTAATCCGCTGGTCCAATACCAATGGTGTTCTCTGAACCAACAAAGATGGCTGCTCTCAGAGCAACCTGTTGGCCCTTAAAAAGTTGCTCTGTGCTCCTCCTTGCCGAGTCTCTTTCATTGAGCTCATGTCATATTCTAACCACTTGAGACCCAGAAGGTTTTTTATTAACCGGACTGGATTCT